GAAGGGGCAGGGGGGTCGACAGGGTTTGTTAAGGGCTGGTTCTAAGGCAAAATATATTGTGGGGACGGAAAAAACAAAAAAACTAAACAAAATAGAAATAGAGAAGATAAACGTCCTTTTGAAACAACCAAAGAAGAGAGAGAAAAAAGAGACGTTCATATAATATAACAGATGATATGACGGAGACGAGTACTTAAGTATGACGGTTACACATTGTACAACTGTGTTTCTATGAAGACAGACAAAGCTCCCTAATGAGCCACTCAGCCTCACGAGGCTTTATTCTCTGGGACTATTCACTAAGGCCACGAAATAACTCCTCTGCAACGTGGCCTCGTGTCCCACGCGGTGATTCATATCCCACCCCCCCCCCCCCGCCGAAACGCACAGCGGAGCGGCAGGTATCATCAACAGGTGCTTCACCCGAAACACAACCTCCAGAGATGAGCCAAGCTTTTTTGGGGGGGGAGAGGAGGGGGGGGCTTCACGGGCGTTTGAGGTGCGATCCTCTGTTTGGAAAACAACTTTCCCTGCTGGGTGAAAAGAAGAAGCAGAGAGTGGAGAAGGAAAGGGAGGAGGAGAGAGCGAGAGTGATGGAGAGCTAGAAAGAGGGAATCGACGTAGTTAATGAACACCGTTTCACTGGTTACCAGCGGCAACCAAAGTGGCTGCGGAAAACATCCCCATCCCATTCTGGGGTCTTCTTTTTGGTCGGGCCATGAGGCGCTACAATAAACCAGAAAGGGTTGTTTCATTGGAGCTGCAGCCTCTTCAGAAAACGATGGAAAGGGACGGGGGGGCGACGGACGATGACGTATGTGACTTATGTGATGTGAGGTTGTGTGCACGAAGAGAGGAAAGCCAGCCGTAAGCATGTAACCATTTATGGTGAATAAGTTCTGAGCTGCGAGTAACCTTCACACCTTCTCAGAGGGCCTCACTTAAGAAGCAAAGGACGGATGCGTTAAGTTTCAGTGGGGTTGTCTATATTTTGTTTACTCACTATAATCATTTTTTCAGGACTAAAAGAGCCTCAAACTTGGGTATTTTGGTACATTACAGGTCCGAACCAGTTGAAAACACCACCGTTTCATTTTCACGAAGAGGCAAACGGTCCACTGAGCTTTGCAATAAAAGTATCTGAAGAAAGCGGCTATTACTGTTAGTCATCACAGGACGAGTGAGTCAGCGGAGAAAAACCTCGAGCCCCCCCCCCCCCCCCCTGGGTAACGGTGAGCAGAATCGGGGGTGGGGGGCATTGTGAGGCAGGACTTTTATTGCGTGGCGTTGTGCTGCCACCATGTGGCCGGTTTAAGGATGGCATGCAGCTGCAAAGCTGAGGGATGCTTTGGATTCAAACAACAGAAATAGAAATAAAATAAAAGGAAGACGTGTGTGCAAAAGATGTATTTAAGACTATTAAACTACTGTGAATGCGTTTCATTGGAACACATGGATCGTGTTCTGAGGGGCCGCTTGCTCATTCTCGTGTGTCACACCTGTTAGAGCAGGAAGACTTATTTTAGTATTTTATTTTCGATACGTCTTATTGAACCCGAGAGGACGAGGACGCCGCTGTTGGACAGAATGACAGAAACAGGAAACACTACAATAAATCACCAGATCCATCCCACAACGATGACCTCGTTCCACTGTTTGGTTGGTTACATCTTTGCACTAATGTTGTTATTCGATTCTTTGTTATAAATATATTTTTATTATTATTATTATTATATATATTTTTGTAAATATGTGTACATATTTTAATATTTCTTTTATTATTATTATAATTAATTATTATTATTTTAGTCATTACTTTACATAAACATTTTTTTGGCGACACACAACGTCTCATCTTACTGACCGGACCTCCCACCATCACACAGCTCAGTGAGACGGACCCGCTGTATGAGAACCACATCTAAAAAGGACTGAAACTCAGGAGCAGAGCTCCTCCGGACAGAGAGCGCCCACCGGTGGAATTCAAAAGGCCGGCGTTGAGATGGATCAGGGACGTGATCCAAAGAGCGGATGCGACGGGAAAGCGGAGGACCCGGCGCGCCATCAGTCCTGACCGAGCGCTTTGTCCTCAAGTCCTCCTCGCGCTCCTCACAGACGCTCGATTATTTTGCACTGCCAATTTGGGATTCCAGCGAAGCTCATTTGTGTCGCACAAACGAGAATAAGCTGCGTGGAAATGGGAAAATCCACAGTGAAGCGAGCCGAGTCGAGATGTGCGAACTCGACAAGCCTTCCTCCCGGCGAGGAAAGCAAGCGCTGTAGACCAGAGCACGTTTCCCGACTCACGGGTGGAAATGTGAAGCTTTGGGTCCGCTCGTATTCTGCCACAGCATGTAGGTTGACTCAATGAGGGTTATAAAGGGTTCTTTAGCAGAACCACAGAGGCTGTGGTTGCTACGGGAGACCAACAGAGATCCACACTTGAGTCCAGTGGCTCAGTGAGTGACCACGCTGTCCCCTCCTCGTCCTCCTCACAGGGGACGGGACGCACCGTACACACGGGACTCTAATCTGGCACCGAACCCGCGTGTCGCTACCAGCACCCACTTCACCTTTTAATGAGTGCCAGGAGAGAACAAAGGGCAACGCTTCAACACATAGAGGCGAATGTAGTGGGTCACGCGTATTATCATCAACCGCATCGCCGAAATAAAACACTAGCGATTCAAGAGCAATTTCCTTTTTAAAGAACATCCGGAACTCAGAAGAGGCTCTTCATCTTCTGTTCACGCTGCTTCGTGTTCATCAATGCTGAATCAAATAACCTGTAATCCGAAGGGTCGCTGAAGGAACACTCGGCTGTGCGCGTTTGTCACTGTGCTGGTCAGTGAAGCCTCTGATGTAACGGATGGCGACTGAACACTATCTGCCCGCCACGCCGACAGAGGAAGCCCAATATAAAAAAGGGGGCGGAAGCCGACCTGGGAGCCGCTTTTCACGAGGCCTCGTTTCGGACCAAAGCTGCTCTATCGCATCCGTTAGCTCGGTGACAGACGATGAGGACTCAGGGATTCATGCACCTCGCTTTGCAGACGCCTTTGGGAAACCCGCGGACGGCTCCCTGCAGCCGCAGCCTCTGTTGGAGGGAACAGCGAGCGGCTTTACGAACACAATTCCTCCATTAAAGCCTCGCCGGCGCCATTTCAGCTCGCAGTATCTGCCATCTTTCGCGCGGCGCCATATCTGGAATGATTACGCGTGAGCACGCTGCGAGTCGCCCGGCGACAGCTTCCAAGCGCAGACTTCACCGCGGGGGGACGAGGACGTGTCTCTTAAACCGATCCGGACGACCCGCGGCCCCTTTTGTCCAAACGCCGAGGTGTTAGGAGGACGAGTGCGTCTCCGTGTGCGATTGGAAGTTCGTCTCGTTTGTTTCATGCGGGGTTTCCAGGGAGATCGGCTCGCCTCGTTTCATTTGATAGAGTCAAGTTGCTTCCAGTCGCGCTGATTTCGGAGGATCAGCGCCGCCGGCCGCCGGCTCCGGCTGTTTTGCCCGATGAGTTTTCTCCAGCGTCCAATCAGGAGACGGCACCGGCCGGACATGCATGCATGCACACAGTGCCCCTTATCGATGGTTAACTGACACCACAACGTGCACGCTGGCGGCGCCGACGTGACATTAATGCATTGTTGTCCTGCTGCAAGTGAAGACATAAAAACACCACTCAAACCGTGACACGTGTGCGACAGCGGGAGACGGATGAGAACGAGGTGGCGTTTAGGGGGAAGACAACCGGAACAATCAGTCTGATGAACAGTTAATGAATGTTTTCCATCCGGCTGGCTGTGTACCGGTGAATGTTAAGCGACTTTGTGACGGCGCAGCACCGGCATCGCCCCCCCCCCCCCCCGCAGTGCGGCGCGCTATTACGAGACAAGACCGGGCGTCATCTCACCCCGAAACACACGCGGCAGGTCATCGGATCCACAGCGTTCCCCATCGCTCCGAGTCCAGTGAGATAAAGTTTGCACGCGGCGCTTCTTCCCTTTCTTGTAGGTCCTGCGATGGATGTCTCGCAAAAAGGGCTCCGGTCTTATGAAAAAAACAAAAGGTCTGACGTGCAAATTCAAATTCTTTCAGCCGCGCGTGTCTGAAGGTTACGTACCAGGAATGATTCCGTCACTCGAGCAACATCTCCTCTCCGCAGTTTAAACGGCATGCATCCACATCCAGCTGTGTACTTTAGAAAGTCCCAGCAGACTATGAGGGACCGATGCTGGAGTCCTCTTACCCCTGAGACACTGGAGAGTCAATTACAAAGTCCAGGCTGGTAATGACGTCTCCGGTTCCCTGATCCAGTGACCGAGGGACAATATAGAGCTCCTCAATCATTAATGCACTATTCACCTGCCCATCGTCTGGCATCACCACCCCCCCCGAAAGAGCCAACGAAGACGCACACTGGGGGGCAAACGCACATTGATTGTGTGGATTTTGCGCTTCATTCTCGATGCACTTGTAGCAAACTATGTGTCTTGTTGTTCCTGCGCTATTTGCACTGTGCAAATGAGTCTCGGTTTGAAGCACAAAGATTGCTGACAGTAACACTATGAGCCGCACGCAGTCAAACTTCAGCGGCAGCAACCCGTTCTTTGGGAATTTGCCGGCAACTGCATTGAAATTCTAACAAAACCAAAAATATAAGTTGTATAAGTACAGTCACGTAAGTAAGTAAGACAGTTATTGTCTTAGAATTCGATCTTGGTCAGGACTCTACACTTTTAGAAGATGGAAACCATTCAGAGTGAAGACATGACAATTGGGGAAAAGTCATGTGCACTGGCTTGTTTGTTAGAACGTCTTAAAGAAAGCGGGCGTCAAACAAGAGGCACGGGGACTCCTGATGTCTCCATTTCAGAGCTGCTGTGAATGTCTCCGTCATGGCACAGCGAGTAGGAGAACCTCCTCACTCCGTTATGGGATCAATCAAAGCCAAGGGGATTCTTTATAAGAAAGAAATAATAATAACCAAACTTACAAAGTTCCTCTTCAGCTTGCCCTTCCTGCTCCGGGTGGCCTTGCTCTCTGCGGCGGCCGTGGAGCCGTAGTCCGAGCCCATGTCCAGGTGGTCGTCCGCTGAGACGCTCTTGCGGAGGTAGGCGGCTCGCGCCCGGAAGTGGGAGAAGGGGGACTGGGAGCGAGGACGCACCTCGGTGCCGCCGCCGTGCTCGGGCTCGTCTCCGCCCTCCATGTCGTCCTCCAGGCGCCACAGCTCCCCTGGAGGAGAGGGGGGGGGGTAAAAAAAAGGATAAGTGGCGGCATTAGGGAACAGTCAGGGAGAAGAAAGGAAAAAAGAGAAAAGCCGTTGGAGATATATGAGTGGATGGATAATAAATAGTTATTCCCTCAATGCGATTATTGCTCCACGAAACGTGGAGCGCCGTCCGCTGATTGCTTTCAGGAAATATTTCCCGAATTTAATTAAGCTCTTTTCTGAGGCCGAGCATTTCACAAACATTATTCTCAGTCCGCCACCTCAACAACTTGATTATGATTGTACACGCTCCGGAGAAATGATTGCTCGAGGATAATCAAGAGGGAGGAACAAATTTGCCGCGACGTTGGCGCTAACATGCCGGCCGAGCCGCTGCGGTCACAGAGCAGAGACGGAAGCGGCCCCTCTAATCCCAGCCGAGTAAAACACTTTCAGTTACTTATCTTGGTGCATGCTGGGTAAGCTGCGGAATATCTGCGTTTCGAGAAGAGGGACATTGTTGCGTTAACAACAGCATACATGAACGTAATCCTGATTAGAATGTATTGGGAACACTGTGGCATCTGCTAGTGGAACGAGTCTCTTGACCAGAACGAAACGTGTTGCTGACGTGGTCACAATGGCCGTATTCCATCCTGAACTACTTTATCCAATTATTAGGAGTTAACTAGCATTAGCTTCTGAAAAAAATCACTTATTTTATCATTAAAATCCTTGGCGTATTCCTTTTTGTCATCGCGGCCGTGACGCACATGGCTATATGTTTAATTCATTACATGTTTTTTCAATTTAAATGCCACTGAATGCCACTTAATTTAACAACATGTTTCATTAATTTTTTTAATTGCTGATGTAAACAACGTATAAAGATCATAAGAACATTACAGACCAATTGTTGCATTCAAACACCTCGATACAAATACCTTCCTCAATTTGTGACTGACACTGAAGTTTACGCAGAACTAGAAATACAACAAAATGTTTCAGAGAAGTGAAATTGTAACTTCATCACAACTATTGTATATTGTGATAATGACTTTATTAGTGAGTGCTTATTCCTTATTAGGGATGTTGCCTTAAAATCCTTGAATGAAGTCAAGCAGGGTTATTAACCAACTTCAATTTTGAAAATAAAAAAAAATGTTCTTCAGCCCCACTGGAGAGATTAAGAGAAAGCGAGAGAGAGGCAGCATTGTGGTCGATGACAGTGGTTGCTAGGCAACAAGGTGCCATGTGAGACTCCTCTTCAATTTGATATTTTCAACAGAGCACCAGTGGGGCAAAAAGACAAAGAAAGGTAAAGGTTCATACCTTTACACAGAATGAGAGTCCTTGGTCCATATAAATCACAGAGGACATCGTTAGTCTAGGACAGCGATTCCCAAAGTGTGGGCGGCGGCTTACTGGTGGGCCGCGAAGGTACTGCAGGTGGGCCGCGAGAGGTCATTTACAATAAATAAATAAAATGTTTTTAATTTTCAATTTTGAAAAGTTTGAAATTAATATAAAACAATGTCAAATGGGGCGCCCTCTTGTAGTATTAAAGTAAATATATATGAGCTCCGGAGAAAATGGTATACAAAACATACATTGTCGCTCAATACGTTTTTAATCGGTTAAATTCTTAAGTTCATTTAATCATCTCTAGTTTATGTTTTGATCAGCGTTGTGATTAAAGGTTTGGGTGGGCCGCAAAAGATTTCAAATTGGGCCTGGAAATTCTTTAGTTTGGGAACCGCTAGTCTAGGACCCTAGTCTAGGATCAGTTTTTGGACTTTTTATCCACGTCATTTTCCGAGCTACTATTTATTTTTGACCTTTTTTTTGTTGCTTTTGTGCCATTACATTTTTTAAGTTAATATTTTTTTGACTTTTTCGGTGTAATATTTTTTTACATTTTTCGACCAAATATTTTTTTCATCAACAATTTTTGACCTAATTCGTTTTTGCTTTGGTTCCATTACATTTTTGAAGGTAATATTTTTTGGGGGCTTTTTTCAGGCTAATATTTTTTTTAAACGTTTTGACCTAATATTTTTTACATTGTTTACACCGTCTGCACTTTTATCTGCGAGCCATACAAAGAACCGTGTCAATAGATTGACTACATTTAACTGCATCTAAACGAAAGGCACATTTTCCCTTTGAAAAACACGTGGAGTTTCCAACACTTGGGATACGATTATATAAGACGGTGTGTTGCAGTGGAAGTTCTCCGGAGGACTCACGATTAGGCTGTTTCATGTGATAATCCAAACTAATTTTAGGACAGCATGCTGGCTCTGGGGATAGCACAGAAATGAGGTTCTGAGTGACTGTTGTTTCATTACGCTGTGAAGACTCGCCTGAGTCGGTGTCTTCTGTGTTGCTGCCTGTCTTTCTGTGAATCCTCTGGGACTTTTGGTTTACTTGAAGTCGAAGACTTCGCCCCATTTTAATAAGTTCCTTTTCCTCTAGTGCTGACAGTTTCTTTTCTGTCTTTGTGAAGTGAAACATTTCTTTCCTCTCAAAAGCTCCACACAGGACACAGTGCGTCCTTGGGAATTGGAGGGCAGAGGGTTGGTTTGCTTCTCTCAAACATCACAAATAAGGATTATAACAACGCTGCACTTTTCGCTTACAACGCGACCATTCTCGTCCGTCTCGTGGTGGTCAAGTGTGTTTTTCTGAAGTAGGAGGAGGTTATGTAAGGAGGTTTATTGTGTTGGTTTGCTGACTGATCGCTGTGCATGTCCATGTCGCGGACGCTGTTAATACGTCAGAGCGAAGATTACTTCTCAAATGACCCATTTCGGGGGAAAGTGTGAGACCTGCTAAAACCAGAATCAACTGAGAAATTATAAACGCATTAAAACGTGCTGTAAGTAGGTCACTCTTTAAACGGTTTTGAAGCAACCTCGAGCACAGATTGCATATACTTAAGAAACGGTTTGAATTATTTGTTTTTTATTTATTTATTATTTTTTCGTCAGAGGCGTGTGTTTGACTCACAATCAAAAGAGGGATGCTGTATCCTTCCTCGCACCCACGAGGAGCCGCTTTGCGATGCGGCGAATATCAAAGAAGCAGAGCAGAGGTGGAAGCTAGAGAACGACTGGATGACAATGTGTTCAACATTTAGTTGAAGCTTCAGCCGTCTCGTATCTCCAGCATGAAACACTTATCGGATCATCAGTTAAGAGGCACATACGTTACGAATCAAGAGGTCAGAGAAACAGCCCCCTTGACACCAAGTGCGTTTCAGCAAGCAGTGCTGGTGAGGCGAGGCATTGATCTTATCTGGCCATTTCCAGGACGATTGTTGATGAGCCGATAGGAATCTGTCTCCACTTCCTACAATATAAGTGAGTTGAAAAGGAAAGTGTGGATTGCCAATACCATAAATGTGCCTTTTGGGGGACATTTACTCTCCGCTTTGTCAAAAGAGGATTAGAGATTTTTGTTAAGAGGCACGACGCAAACAAAGGAAAGAAACAAGCAAACCGATTAGATGAAAGAACACTAATGCAGTCAGCTCTACGAAGTCGTCTCTTCTGTGGCATCTTTACCTGCAGGCGGGAGGGTGCAGGCCTTTGGGTGGCTGGTGGCAGGGGGCGGGTTCTTCCTACGAGGAGGACTCCCACCCATGAGGCGGGAGTGATGGACCCTGGAGACTGTGGGAGACTGCGGGATGCTGGGGAGAGTCCGCGACTTGGCCAGTATGGGTCTCTGCAGCTTCCTCTCCAGGGACCTGGTTGGACGGCACACAGAGGGATTCAAATAACAGCTCATGAAAATGTGCATGAAAGCCCCCCCCCCCCCCCCCAGTACGGGGAGATTCAAGCAGACAAACCAGTTCCACTGTTCACGCAGCAGCTGTTTGAAGACAGATTGTTACCTTGTAGGCTATAAGCGTGCAATACAATACCAGCACATACACCCCATGCACACATGGACACACACGGGTGCACACAACCAGCCTAATGAGAAACTAGAGAGCAGCTGTGCTAATCAATAGTGAAATTGCTTCCACCTCGGCATAATCAAGGCGGCGGCCGCTTGGAACTCGACCAATGGGAATCGCCGTTTCTTATAGCGGTTGCCCTCCGCCGGGACTCCGGTCGATAGCCGCAATCACAAGATGGGCTTGATAGCAAACAGTTCTCGTCTCAGAAGCCACAAGGCGGTCAAATAATCGCCGTGTACGTGAGGGGCTTTTCTATGTCGATGCTTTTTAAAGGAAGACGGGTGGTTTCTTTTTTTTTTTCAATCACCATTATTCAAAGAGCAAAAACAACGGCCCTCGTTTCCCCGCCGCGCCTCTGTTCCTCGGTCCTCTTTCATCCAAAGGAAATGTGCTCTTCAAACCTTCCAGGCCGACACACACACAGAAAAAGCCCCGGATTGCCAGTGATGCATTGCACCGCAACAGATATTATTACATTGGAATAATCCCTAAAATCGCCATCAAACAACGCGGCGTCGCTCACATCAGCTCCGAGTGATCAAATCTAATAAAATGGGGGTTGGGGGGGGGGGTCAATATTTCAGATATCAGTCTGGCGTGACATGTTTGGACAAAGAACATGTGCCCCTGGAGGGGAAGTCAAACAAGGTCACGAGCCCCCGGGCTTTGGAAAAGAAACATAGAGGCCCGATATGAAGATATGAGATCTATTTGTCTCATTTTGACTTTGACAGAAGCGTCAGAGCGGGACAGTGTCTCCAAACGCCATTCGAGCTGATACACTGGCAGAACAGCGCGTGCCTTTGCAGCAGTGCGTGTGAGCGCTCGTGTGTTGTGGTCCTTGTTCTCTCGCACGCCACGCGCTCCCGTCCGCTTCGTCGCGATCGTTCGACCCGACATCAGCATTCACTCATATAAAGGAAAGGGTCACATGTTGGAATTTAGAATGAGTCCGAGGAGAAGATTGTATCTCTTGTATCCGTCCATTAATTAGCTTAGCTTAGTATGAAGAGTGGAAACAGACCTTTAAAGTCAACTTTTGGAGATATCACTTTAAATTCTACACGAAATAGTCATTGCATATGGACGTGGCCATAGTGACCACGGCGAGTTTGGCAACAAATTCTCGTATCATCAACCACTGAGCATCATCAAATATCCTAAAAATGATCTGATGACTTATTATATTAGTCTTCATCTAATCCATTAAATGCTTGACTTCATGAAAGCACATGATCAATCATTATTCCTTCATTAATGAGATAATCAAACGACGCGGCCTCCTATTGCGTGTTTCACTTGTCTGTTTCGCCCTACAGCGACGTCCTGAAGTGCTCTGCAGTGCTCTGCTTCTCTCTGCTTCTTCATCTCTCGGATGTCTGGCTCAGGATGCAAATGCCACATTTTCAGGCTCGTGGCGATTCATCACGCGGGAGCTTTTAGGTAAACCGACAGTCAGCACATCCCGAGGCCATCGAAGGGCCGACAGTGAGATACAACACCCCCCCTCCCACACACACACACACTGATAGAGAAGGTGTTGAAGTTGTAAATATTTCACCTGCAATCAGAAAGTCCTGCATGAGATGGAGTGTTGATGAAAAACGCTTTCATATCGCTGAGTGTCAAAGGAAGAGCCGAAAGTGTTTGCAGGCACCAACACACACAGGAAGGTAATTGAAACCGGCAGGTCTCTCACTCTTCAGAAATCCATACTGACTTGCATGGAAAATCATTTTTGCAAAGCACACATGCATACGCAAACGCACACAGACACACACACATTCAGCCTCAAACTCCCCACAGTGGGTGTGAGATGAAATAGCTCAGGGTCCAGTGGTAAACACGTGGACACTCTTACAAATACACACATGCACACAAACAGTTGTTGGCCTACGGCAGCGCGCAACGGCAGTAACACACCGGGCGGCCCGGTGTTTTATCGCCATGGCGATGACACAGCGGGCCGCCTCGGTTTGGCCCGGGCCGCATCGGCAATTTTGGGCCGTCAGACCTGTTGCTAAGCGACTCAGTCTACAAAAACAGGGGGAGAGGAGAGACTGTTTTGGTTTTTTCTCTTCTGAGCAACAATCTGCGTTTTCCCAAAGAACAATGTGTGTGCCACAGATTGGCAGATGTATTGTCTGCGGCGCTGCAGTGGAGGGAGGCAGCCCACTGTCTGTGTGAGCATTGACAGGGTGGGATGACTGTGTGATGCTGACTTCTCATCTCTTCCAGGAGATCGACACGGAAGAGCTCAAAAGACCTCTGCTCTATTTCTTGCTAGGTTGCTCCCCAACTTCCAGAAGTCACTGGAACAGATGTACAGCAATTTGTATTAGTCACCTACTTTCATGCTAAAAGTAGCCCGTGCAGCGAGGCGATGCTACAAAGAACTGCACCTGTATCTGCTCCACCCTGCACAGTAGAGGCAGAGTAATGACAGCCCACGCCGCTGTGTGTGGTCGCACATCCGCATTCGGGTTTAACTCAACGCGTCTCCCGACGTTTGAAGGTGACGAGTCCTGTCACATTCTTCAAAAAGGAATTCTTGGATATTAAAGTCGTCGTAGTTTTTGGTTGGATAAAATTGACGTCTCAGTCAAAAGTGAAAGAGCACGGATACCCCCCCTCCCCCCCTGAGCTCCCTGCCCCAAAGTCAAGAGGGCACTAAGTGATTAACCTCGGTCTTCATCGTTGGCTGATTGAGTGGACGTGGCTCGAGGAGTCAGCGCACCACAGAGATTGGATGAAGTGGTTTGAGCAGCTGGAGTGACAGGAGGGAGCAAAGAGCCGGCCCTGTGGACTTACACTACAGGAGGGTAACTAGAGAACTACATTACAGCCTAAATCCCCCTCGTGCCCATCGTTCAGCGCGGACCGACCGACCTGTCACTTTTCGTTACGGCCGCATCCAAGCGTCGAGATAGAGGAGGCCGTCTGCAGAATAAACCACTAGTGAGCGGTTCTGTTTGGGAAGTGGATTTGAAAAACAGAGCACGTGGAAAACATGAGCACTGCTCAGACGCTGAGAGCAACATTGATACAACACGATGCTCAATTGAACTCAGAACAAACAATGATGTCAATTTGGAGTCAACGTGCCTGCCGACGTTAACTAGGAGGAATTGTGTGCTTTTCATGTCCCCGAAGACAAACGCAAAGATCAATGTGGGCTAATTAGCCTTGTTCCAATTAAAAAGTTTCAAAAACACGTCAGAGTGAATGTAATGACTTTAAGGCCAATGGGGGCTGAAGTTCCGTCGGTCGGAGCTCTCGGCAGATCTAAATTTAGAGGCGCGACCATTTGTTGGCCTCAGTGCGACTGAAACGTTGGAATCCATAATATCTGTTCCTTCCGTATACAATCAGTCAGAAAACTGCCGCACTGGGCCAACACCTAAAAAAAAAAAAAGACAGGTTAACATTGACACCAAGGAACCCCTCCTAGAGACGAAGACGAGATGGACTGCGTGGGAAGGGGCCGGCTCGTGAGAGAGACAGAGAGACGGCGAGTGGGAGAGACGGAGACAAAGAGGCTGTGGGGACGAGAGAGATGCTGCATGGGTGATGGCACGGAACCACACGTCCACCCACGTCAACACTCGTGCTGCGAGGGAATGATATTAGATTTGATAGGAATCATTTGCAGGCGAGACGAGTGGCGCTTTATTATTTATTTGATGTATTTCTTTACATTAGCAGTCTGATTAGTACTTCTGCACGGTTACGTAACTTAACAGGAGAACTCTTCCCATGGTGGCCCTGCTCCAAAGTGAAGGATGCTAGTCGCAGCGTCGTGACACAATGCAAGAAAAAGACGTAAAGGGACGCAAAATTAATATAGCCGCTTCAAGCAGCCCCCTGACCCCGCCCCCCACTCCCCTGACCCCGCCCACCACTCCTTCAACACCTGCCGTCAATCTGAGACGTTTACATACATCCTGTGCTGGAGTGTCCCAGTCATCATACTTCAACTGCATCCCAACACTTATGTAACACAATGGTTGCTCGCACGTGCACGCCCGCGCGCACACACAGGCACGCGCATTTGTGTAGAAACACCTGTGTGCGTTCACGCGCCGACACAACGATGGATTCACCAAAGAAGAAACGTTATTCACTTCTATTACAGTGCGCGCACGCGCACGTTGTATTCACGCTAAATGCGCGTTCGAATCGCGCGGGAACGTTGTGTACGCGGTGACATTTGGTTACACAAAGACCGACATGTTCACAGAGACACGCCGTGCTCCCGAGTGGCCCGGCGCACCTGAGCGGAGACACGGAGGCGCGCGCACACACACACGCACGCACAAGCACGCGGACGCGCGGGGGTTACCTGGCCTCGGCCACGGTGCAGCAGTAGCTGCCGCTGCGCTGCGCGCTCCTTCCCTCGCGCATCTCCTCTTGCGACTTGCGCCGATTAAAGTAGTCTGTGAGTTTCCCAAAACTCGCCATCTTTCCTCCGGCCGCTCACCTCCAACCTTCCCGCTCTCCCTCTCTCGCCTGCTTTCCTTTAGCCCTCCCGCCGGGAACAAAAATCAAAAGAAATAATAATGATGGTAATGCGAATAACGCTCCTCGTCTCACGCGCTCAGCCGCGGGTCCGACCCTCCACGCGCTCCCTCATCCTCTCGTGCGCGGCGGCGCTCGGTGTGCACGAGGAGAACGAGCCAAACCCTCCTCTGCTTTTTCTTATTTATATATTTCCGCCCTCTGCCTCGCTCCTCTTCTGGTCGCTCGCTATTGACTCTCTCCCGAAATAGTATAACGTTTGCAACTGCCTACCAATTGACACAGCAGGAGCCCCCCCCCCCAACTCCCCTCCTCCCACCCTCACCAGAGAGCCAACAAGAAGGAGGGAGACGGAGAGAGAGGGAGAGAGAGAGGGAGAGAGGTGGTGGCTCAGCATCTGTGGTCTTCTTGTGATGGAGAGAGAGAATATAAGCTGCTGTGATGCTCTCTCGCTCTCTCTGTCTGTCTGTCTGTCTGTCTGTCCATCTCTCTCGAATTATTTCACACATTGAGCACACACACACACACACACACACACACACACACACACACACACACACACATCCCAGCAGGACGTAGCGTTGTGTTTGTGTCACACATGCCTCAAGCTCACGTTTCACCTCAAGCAGCACAACTTCCTCTGCTTGTTTGTGCGTGTTTGCCTGTGTCTTTGTGTGCGCTTGTGTGCGCTTGTGTGCTGCGTGCAGGGATGGAACTCATGTTGTGTTGAATCAATAATTTAAAAAACAAAACGAGGAGAGAGCTTCCTCGTGCATTTATCTGCCGTCCACTCAGAATATGAACAGCAACAAAGAAAAGATGAAGAGAGGCAGCGAGGGAGCGAGGGAAGGTCAGAAGGGAAGTAGGGAGGGTAGGTGGTGAGGGTAGCTTGTTAGTGTGTGTGTGTGTGTGTGTGTGTGTGTGTCTCCCTCCCACACATCCTCGGTACATTAAGACATTCCTCTGTCACCCTCAACGCGTTTCCCTTTTATTTCTAGATTGCGTCTTCTTTTCCTTCGTCCTCCTCCCTCTTTCTGCATCTCTCCGTGACTGCTCCTTTTACCTCTCCACCCCCCCCCCCCCCCCACCTCCCCCAGCTGCCTGCTCCTCCTTCCTTTGCTCCTGCCCCCTCCACACGCCTCCTGATTCCGACCCTCGTGTGATAACTCATTTTCTGGGAGGATTGTGTACAATTACGGGTCAGCTCACGCGTGTAGAATATAGAATATGTGCATTTCATTATTTGTATGAGCGTATGAATCCGTAATCACCATTTCCCGTTGCTTTAAAAGTGAAAAAAAAATGAAAAAGCCTTAGAATATCACATAAGTGACATAGAATATCTAACTTTAAGCGATTCTAACGAGTTGCCAAAGGGAATTCTTTATATTCTAACTGTATGTACAATACGTTTACACAGGGAGAGGGATAGATTGGAAAAGGAGGTGGTCGACGCAGACGTTTAGCAGACTGATGTGTGTTTGCTGTGATGTTGTGTGAGAGTTCAGCTTATCGATCCGCCTCACCCACCTCACCCGCCTCTCTCTGTTTTGAGTCTCTGCTGCGTCGCGGCAGAGAGAGAAGAAGCAGGAAACAACAGAGCGTAATATTTACTCCTAAAGCCTCTGCACTCCCCATCCTGGCTGATATTCTCCTCATGCACAAAGCAGCAGAACACACACACACACACACACACACACACACAGATGTATCACGGTATGGATGCATGCTGTGCAGCTGTGGTGGAAATGTTTTCCGTATCTGCATGAATAAAGCACCTCGTTTGGCTCTGTTTCCATGTTTATTCATGAATAGTCCCACAATCGGTGGTGTAAAAGACAACAGAAAGCGGAAGAGTTGTGCGACTGGAGGTTGGAGGATGAAAAAGAGGGAATCTTGAGACAAAAAACGGACACGGCAGCAAAGCCTCTGAGGGGAATTGACCCCCCGAGCGAGGAGCTACAGCTCAGGCTTCTTTCTGCCTTCAGTCCGCATTTGGCTCTAAAATGGGTTTTGACTGATGAATAAATCATGAACTGCTATTTTTTAAAAGGGGTTATTTTCATTCAAAATCACTCTGACATCATCCGCTTGGGATTGCAACTCTTTCCACCCCCTCCGATGGTGACTTTGTATTTAAAAGCTGAATAATTCAATCCGATTTTACACATCAAATAAGTAATTATTCGTCAAAACGACAGGGGAAACAACGGTTAATGTTCGTACAGGTTCTCAGGTGTGTGTGTGTGTGTGTGTGTGTGTGTCGCCGCTGCCAGGAAACACGGAGAAGGTCGTCAGTGTTACCAGCTGTGCCCTTCACGACTTGTTGGAATATCCGCGGCGGAAAAGGTCAGAGGAGCCGGAAGGAAAGGCGTCACCGCGAGAGCGCTGACGCCGTTGTTTCTGCACCGTGACGTGTTCGGAAATGGGACTTGGTGGCACATGTGTCTGTATATGTTGTGTGTTTTTGACAAAACGAAGCCAATCCGACTGTAAACATCTGTATATCGTCCTCAAAAACCTCGTATGTGTCCGAGGGCCGCATGGGCAATATTACCACGATCTTTTTCTAATTAAGTCATTTCATATCACGATGAGGACGTATTTCACTGGTCGATGGATACAGTCATACATAAAATGACTACACGGCGAAGCTTTGAAAAAAAGGTTTGCTCATTAAATTAAGATGCTTAATGAGAAAGAAATATTCTATATGTATAGTTGTATAGTAGATGTAGATTCTACAATTACATTCATGCAAAACGTTTTTGTTAATGGGCCTTTCGTTGACGTCATCTACCTGAGTAGTGCTAACTTTGCTCCTTAGATAAGCCGCGTTGTAGTGCATGCAACATGCAGTCATTTGAGAGAACCCCCAGAACCATTCTGAGATGGGAAAATGTTCTACATCGATTTGGGTACATTAGACCACGTCAGCTGCGCTTTATTGTGAAAACGTTTTGTTCAAATGATCCGTTTCGCCATATTCCCGTCGTACTCCGGCTCTTTTCTCGTCTGTGGGCACAGACACACAAGTCCTCAGGAAGCCAACGCTCTGAGTATCGGCATGACAGCCGTCCTCGGGTAAATAAAGACGGCGTCTTGTTCTCTAAATGTGAGAGTGGTTCAAAACAGGAAGCTCGCGCCGAGGCCTCGGCCCCCCGGCTCTTTAGCAGAAAACCTTCCGCCCTTTAAGGGACATATTTTTAACTTTGCATCTCTCTTTAAGGAATTTTGCGTATTTTGTATGAAGAAAAAGTTCCTCAAAACGTTTGCTGTGATGGCAACAAAGTCAACACATTTGCTGGTACGGTGAATTGATCACTGCTGTTTGTTCTATAAATACATTCCCACAAAGACACACACACACACACACAGGAAACCACCGTGGAATTGTTGATTTATTTCTCCGAATGAATCATCCTCAGAGAGAAAGATGGAGATGTTCTGCCTGCAGGACTTTCTTTTATCTCTCTCTCTGCGCCCATAACTCCTTTCCTCCGCGTCGATCCTTCTCTTCTTCCCTCGCTCTATAACACCCGCCTACCCCTCCCAAGCCGCATAATGCCAGTCAGATATACGGCCATTTAGAGAGTCCTGAGGGCCGGGCTGAATAAAAGATGAAGTGACATAAGTGCTTTCTGCTGCCTTGAAATTCCCTCAAACCCGTTTAACCTCAGAAAAGAAAAGAAAACTCGGACAAGTCCTACTTTAGAAAAAAAACAAAGTCCAATGTTCTGTTATTTACAGCTCTGAAGCATTTAAATGCATTTTACACGTGTCTGAAGATCGGCTCCTCAGGGCAGCCACAGGACTCGTTTCACCATACGGCGAAATAACCTCGCGACGATGATGAAGATCACCCGCATCCCGACACAGCGCTCTACCTCTTCCATGGCGGCACCAAGGGAAACACAAGCAACGACTCCCTTCCTCGTGTCTGAGAGGACCAAGAGGCAAAACATCGCTTCCCCCAAACACACGCGTCTCTTGATTATTGTTTGATTTTCTCTCCTCCCGTTGCCCCGTTTCTCCTCACGCCTGATTCCCAGCCGCTGGTCGGTTGGATTTCATCGCCGCCGTATGTCACTCGTCATTGTCGAGTGCCTAAGATGTTTGGTGCGTCCGCTTTGGGCCGAGTGAACGTCAAAGAACGAAGAGACGACAGGGAACACGATGGCCATAAAAAGGCCCCGTGGGCACAAACGTGTGTGTGTGTGTGTGTGTGTGTGTTTTGGCGGTGTGCGGAGGTCCGTCTGCAGACCGGACACCCGCATTCCCTCAGTCTGACAGCTCAGTCCCAAACGACCAACTAGGGCCCCTCTGGTTACCTGCTCGCTGCGACGGACACTGTTTACTCAGCTTGCCGGGACCAAGAGGTGGAAATAAACATCACCCGTCACCAAGTCACCCGTCGGTCACCGTGCACAGCGCGAGTAAAAGCAACGCGCAGGAGCCTCGTGCTACGTCGCATTCAGCAGCAGCCTGCGTGAGCCGGTTTCCCTACTTTCTCTGTGACACCCGTCATCCTCTTATGAACACTTAGCGACCTCTGGATGTGACGCACTGATTGTGAAAGCGTCAGATATCCAGGGATCGGCTTCCTAACATCAGCCCTTCGCTAACAGACTGCGGCCGTTAACTCTGCAAACGGCCTGGACCTCGCGTTGCCCTCGCTGGTTCCCTCGTAGGGCCGAGGGAATAAATCTAAGCCCCTCATCACATTTCTGCCAGCTTAACCTCAGTCCCAGGAATCTGATCCTTAGAAAAGGGGAGGTGGGGCGGAGGGGGGGCGGTAAATTTGTTCTGGCAAACTGTTCCAGACAAGCAGAGACAAAGAGGGGCATTAATGAGCTATTAAAGCGTCCAAACACTACAGCGCGGCCGCCATCTGCTTTATTTGTCGCCCGAGGCGGCCATATCTAAATGGATGAAGCGCTGCGTGGAGTTGAAGCGTTCCAGTGAAGGACGACATTCAGCACTACTGATGCTGACGACTCGTTTAGGGTCTACAAGGGGAACAGGTTTACTTACGGGCTCGAGAATCCAACTCCAAACCGAAACACGTTCAACTCATTGAAGATTTCCCAGGAGAAAAAAAAAAGGTGGTTGCATCCAACTTGGTGGACAGTTGTGTACAAACGTTTCCCGTCGGTGTGAGTCTTGTTTTGTCATTATTGACTCCAGCAGAGAGCCACAAAATAGGAGAAGCCCTTTAATGAACGTCTGACTGATTACAAAAACACATGTTGCACA